CTTCGGCTCAGGTCATGATCTCAGGGTCCTGGGATTGAGCCCTATGGCGGGCTGCCCGCTCAAGGGGGAGTCTGCTTCTCCCTCTGCCTCTCCAACCCCCAACCCCCACTCACGCACGCTCTCTCTGTCAAATAAATAAAATCTTTAAAAAGAACTTTAAAAAAATAAAAAATAGGGGCGCCTGGGTGGCTCAGTTGGTTAAGCGACTGCCTTCGGCTCAGGTCATGATCCTGGAGTCCCGGGATCGAGTCCCGCATTGGGCTCCCTGCTCAGCGGGGAGTCTGCTTCTCCCTCTGACCCTCCCCCCTCTCATGTGCTCTCTCTCTCTCTCTCTCATTCTCTCTCTCTTTCAAATAAATAAATAAATCTTTAAAAAATAAATAAATAAATAAAAAATAGAACAATATTTAAAAGCAAACAACTGGGAAAATATCTGCAACAGATATGACATGTAAAGGATCAACATCCTTAACATATGCAGATCACTAAACAATAACAAATCAATAAACAATAATAGCAAACACTCCAATATAAAATTAGACAAAGGACAGCAGGCAGGTAATTCAAAAACAATAAAGTTAAATGGTGAATAAACAACTGGGGAAATACACAATGCATTATAATAAAAAATGCAAATTACAAAATGTCACTCTTGACCAATCATACTAAAGATTAAATAATGACACTCTTTAATGCTGGCCAAAGTTGTAGAGACAAATACTCCCCTGCCCCGGTAGTAATAGGATTAGTATAATCTTTTTTTTTTTTCTTTTTCTTTTTTTTTTGAGAGGGAGAGAGGCAGGGGAGGGGTGAGGGGAGAAGCATAGGGAGAGGGAGAGGGAGAGAATCTTAAGCAGGCTCCAGGCCTAGCTCAGAGCCCAAGGGAGGGCGGGGGCTCCATCTCACAACCCTGAGATCATGATCTGATCTGAAATCAAGAGTTGGACACTTAACCAACTGAGCCACCCAGGTGCCTCAGTATAATCTTTTTGATACTAATTTGTCAATATACACCAAAATCCTTCAAAATATACATATCCTTTGATTTGAAATAGCTCATAGTTGTCAAAGTGTGGTCAATGAACTCCAGTGGATTCCTGGAGTCCCTGAGACCCTCTCAGGGGTCTACAAAGTCAAAACTATTTTTATGGAACTAGTAAAACGTGACTTACCTTTTTCCCTGTGTGAAATCTGCATGGATGATACAAAAACAATAGTGGGTAAAACTGCTACCCCTACGCATAAATCAAGGCAAACTATTCTAGGAGTCACTGTAAATTTCACTGCAACACACTTCCAGGAAAAAAAAAAAAAAAAAAAAAAAAAAGCCAGTTTGGGACTCCTGGCTGGCTCAGTTGGTAGAGCATGCTGACTCTTGATCTCAGGGTAGCGAGTTCAAGTCCCATGTTGGGCATAGGTTTACTTAAAAAAAAGGCCAGTTTCACATAAGAATATCTTAAGATTCACTTATTAATTTTATTAAATCTCAACCTTTGAATACACATCCTTTTAACATTCTATATGACAAAGTAAGAAGCAAATACAAAGCAAATCTACGGCATATCAAAGTATGATGGCTGACTCAAGGGAGAACACTTACATGATTGTTGTAGAGCTGAACTAGCCACTTTTTCCATGGGACAACTTTTTTACTTGAATGAGCAATGAACAAAGTATAATTATTTAGATTTGGGTATCTGGAAGACATTTTCTGAAAAATAAACAATGTGAGCCTGTCACTTCAAAGAAAACAATTGATAATATTTGCTGCAATGATAAAACTTGAGCTTTCAAGGGAAAATTCAAATATTGGAAAACTCTGCATCCATCACCATAAGCTTGACAGCTTCAAATCTTACATACTTTTCTGATGAGATCAGTGGGGATATTAATGAACATGATTTTTTGATAATGTATAATGAAAGGTGACAACATTTGGAAGATTTGCATAACTCACAACCAACATTTTACAAACAAACAATGCATGGATGATAAAAATCATTCATGGGTGAAAGATCCACTCAAAGTTCAAGACAGGCCAGTGGACTATAATATAACAGAGTGAAAAGCTCCATGATATGGTTCACATTCTACATTGTAATTAACCTTTGAGAAAATACCAATTGTTAGGTTTTATGTACTAACAAAAATATCCACATTATCTAAAAAGCCTATTAAATTATTCTTCTCTTTTCCGACTGCATCTGTCTGAGGCTAGGGTTTCTTCATATTCTTTAATCAAAACAACATCTTACAACAGGTTGAATACAGAAGCAGATGTCTTCCTTCTATTTAAGACAGCCGCTAAAGAGATCTGCAAAAGTGTAAAACAATGCCATTTTCTCACTACTTTTTTGAAATGTTATTAATCATAAAAATATGTTAACACAAAATGGGCTTATTATTGTCATTTTTAAATAAATTAATAAGATTTTTTTTTAATTTCCCAATTTTAATTTGTATTTTGGTACATATCAACAGATGTAATCGACATAAACAAAAGTTCTTTGGGGTCTTTGAGGCTTATTTAGAGTATAAAGAGATGTGGAGACCAAAAAGTTTGGAAACTACTGATACAGTCACTCTCACATCTGTGAATCTAAAGTAAGAAAATAAGCAGAAGACTGGGCATTATATAACAACTGTATCAGAAAATTAGAAAAACAAAACTTTTGACGTCCAGTAATAAGAAAGTGGGTGGTACATATAGAATGTGATATTATTATTTATTTGAAACAAATTGTGAAGAATTTTATGAGAAGTGCTCACAATATGTGAAGTAAGAACAGGAAGACCTACAAACTATATTAGTAGTGGCAGTATTACACTGCAAAAAAGACTACAAGGAAATATATAAAATGTTAAAAGAACTTTTCTGGGCCATGCAATTATGAATACTTTTTATTTTCTTTACTGAGCATGCACAACTTTTAAAATCAGGAAAATAAAACTTTAGCAACTTTTTAAAAAACATTTCCGTACTGGGGAGCCTGGGTGGCTCAGTCTGTTAAGCTTCTGACTCTTGATTTCAGCTCTGGTCATGACCTCGGGGTGGGGAGATGGAGCCCTGAGTGAGGCTCTGCACCTGGCATGGGAGTCTACTTAGGATTCTCTTTCTCCCTCTCCCCCTCACACTTCCTCTCCCCCTGCTCCCCAACCTCCACGCTCCTGCACATGCTCTCTCTCCCTCTCGCTCTCTCTCAAATAAAATCTTAAAAACAAAAACAAAACCATTTCAGTACTTTTTTAGAACTCCGTGTAGGCAAATGCCAACAAAAAATAATTGTCACTTTTATTATTATTAATATGAAAACTAATCCAGGCAGCTTAGTGTAGAATTCTGAACTGAAAGTTAAGAAACCTGTATTCTACATTGTTTTGCCATTAAACATCTCTGGGATTTTGACAAGTCACTTAACCTATTTGAACCACCAGAAATTATCTATGAGGTCCTTACCTGACTGACTCTCTAGTAAAATGATCTACCAAATCTAAAGGTTGTTCAAGGCCTTTGCAACAACCACCTAGTGTAAAACGGTGCCGTAACGAAAACTGTGAGGTCAACTCCAAAAACCACACTGTTAATAGAATTTCCACTCAGGCTGCTAAATGACCCTTTAATCCCTTCTTTTGCAGAGTAGTAGTACAGACTCTCTAAAGTTTCCAGGGGAAGAAGAGTTAGTTATTCCCTGGATGGTATTTGGGAAAATTGAAAAATATCTGGCCATATCATGAATAAGGACAAAAACAAAGCACATAAGAGCATAGGCAAGACAGCATGGTGCCCCTAAGGAAGGGCATCCTTATTTAGTGTACTTCCTAAGTCCTCCATAAGCATATGGGGAGGTTACCTCTTATGGAGATGAGGTGACAAGGGAAAAAAAAAAAAAAGAAAGAGATAAAAAGAGGTGGGGAAAAAGAGGAGAGAAAAGGGAAAGAAGCAAAAATACAGTAGTAATATGAGAACATAACAAGAGCTCCATCTTCAAACTGCCCAAAAAAATCTACCTATTCCCTCAGCTTTCCCCCCATTACATTGTTCATTGGCAGAGCTGGCAAGAGATAATGAAAGAAAATTAAATTCCAGTTTGTCAATTTTGTTCCTTGTTGGCAAGTTTGATAAAAGTCTTAAAAACTATAAAAGGAAAACTATTGCCTTTAATTATATCTGGAAAATATTAAAAACATTTTACAGATGAGGAAAACTGACTCCTTCAAAAAACAGGGGTCATAAAAGACCTTTAGTTTACTCTTCAATTTGTACTTTATTAATACCAATTATCCAGTAATCTCTCTTTCTTCAAGGAAACACTTCTTTGGTGATATCTGTGCAAGGGTGGGAAGTATGAAATACACCTGGAATGTGTGTGTATATATATATATATTTTTTTTTTTTAACAACCATATATGTATATATATATATGTATATATGGTTGTTAAAATGGCCAATCTTGACCCAAGAGTGGAATCCCTAGGGCACCAGACTCTGGACTGACAAACACTTGAGATCACCTAATTGCATTAGAGAGTCAAAGTTGAACAGTAGGAGGCCCCTTTAGGCCTGTGGTCCCTTGTTTGTTTCCAGGGGCCAATCGAAAAGGGTCTTCCATTTCCTCCTTCTGAATCTAGAATTTGTATTTCCACTTTGAGAGGGCCCGGCCACCTATCATTCATTCCTAGTATCTGTCAATTAACCAGACATTTAGGAAGCACCTACTATGTGCAGCCATCACATAGAACACACCAAGTTTTCAATAAACGTTTGTGAACTTGAATTTAATTTCAAGGTCTTGGGAGACTGCCAGGGATTCATCCATTTAAGAGTCTCCTGTGGAAGACAGGTGAAAGAGGAAACCTTTTCACATCCTTGATCTCCCAACACCAGACACTCTTGTTCCTCCCCGTTCATGTGCGACACGTGGCTCCTAAGCGCTGGCTGGGATGCCCAGGCTCAGCTGCTGCGGGCAAAGCGCTGTGCGAGTGGAGAGACGGACACTTACCTGGGGAACCTCTGCTTCAGCTTCCTCAGGCTCTGCCTGGTAGGCGGCACAGACACTAGGCACTGGGCTATCTCGTCGTACTGGGCTTTGGTCAGTATCATGTTGGGCCAGGGACTGGAAAGTGGCGGGGACAAGGAAAACACACCCTGGGCTCCAGCAGCCTTGGTGCCGGGAGACGAGGGGTGGGCACACAGCGGCACGGCGCCGGGTCCTAGTCTTCTTTGGCTTGTCCCTATACCCCCTTCACCACCAGCGGCACAGCTTAGGCTTCACCCGGCTGCTCCGCGACGGGGGCGGGCTGTAGACCCGATTGCCCTACCTTGGCTCTCTGAGCAGTCTCAGTGGGCCCGGCCGAAGGCAACCGGCCGCCATGATAGTTAAGGGCAAAACGACCAGGAAGTAGCTGCCGTCAGCAGAGGTGGCGCCTAAATCGCTGCGGGCTCCCGTCCAGGCAGTGTCCACCAGGGATCAATCTCGTTCGTTTGCTGAGTTCACTCTCCCGGCTACCAGAAGTCAGGGAGCCCTAGCGCACAGACCCGGCGGCAGAGCATAAAGGTGCCCCACCATCCTTAAGCCTGAGCCCCGGAAAGAGACTGCTTGGGCGCGCGATTTGAATACGCTTCCAAACGCGCCGTTTTAGCGCAGCTCCAATCGGAGGCTAACAAAGAAAGTCGTCTTGACCCAAGTCTCTCCGCACTCTGCGAGCGGGAACCTGGCAGTTAATCCCCACCGGGATAGCGGTAGACATACAGCTTGGCTTGTGCTGAGAAGTCCGACAACTTCTGCAGCTCGAGTGGAAGGCACTTTTGGTCATGTAGGGACACAGAATAGAAAACAAATCCGACATCATCCAACAGCCCACACAGTAAAGCACATAACTCTCACTCCCCAGAGTTAGGTGCTTACGGACTGAAATCAATTCTCACTCCTTTTTGTATCTTGACCTCTCAGAAAATAGTAGGCGCTCAAGAAATGTTCGGAGAAATGAGTCACTGAATGAATTTCTGTTTTCTTGAGGTGTTGTAATAGATCTCAGCCCTCCTGAGGCAATTTATTAGGACATCAGCCCTTTAATCCCTTTAAAAAAGTCTGGTTCGGGTTGCCTAGGTGGCTCAGACGGTTTTAAATATCTGCCTTCAGCTCAGGTTCTTATCTCAGGGGCCTGGGATGGAGCCCCACACTGGCTCCCTGCTCAGCACGGAGTCGGCTTCTTCCTCTCCCTCTGCCTCTGCCCCTCACTGGTGTGTGCTCTCTCTCTCTCTCAAGTAAATAAATAAATAAATAAATAAATAAGTAAGTAAGTAAGTAAGTAAATAAATAAATAAATAAAATCAGGTTCTTAGAAGGCCATGTGTTTTCTTTTCAAACTTTAACATTTTAAGCAAAGAAAAGCTGTTTCCATTTTAAAGTTTTTGTTTTGTTTTTGTTTTTGTTTTTGTTTTTAATCTGGAATAAGGCCTGGGTTGGAAATTTAGCTTAGATATGCTTTCTCGGATAAATGTCTTAATCCATCTAAGCCTTAGTTCCTTTGTCTGTAAGATTGATTTTTAATTCATGGCCTAAGAGAGTGTTACTTTTTGGTGTAGTAATTAAGCATTAATAGTTGGCAAGACCATAATTAACATTAAATAAGTTAATCCAAGGAACAGAAAGATTCCTTAGCGTAGTGTCTGGCAGATAGTCTATGTAAGATAAGTAGCCTTTGTAAGACCACTTGACAAATGATAAGTCCCATGGACGTGGCTGTTGACCAGGTATTGTTTGTCCTCTACACATTGACTCACTTAATCTTCATAATTTCCTATGAAGCAGATCCTATTGCCATTATCATCCTCCTCCTCCTCCCTTTGGTGCAGGGTGAATAAACTGAGGCATAGAAAGGTCAGGGTAACTTTCCCAGGGGTCATGAGAACAAGTAAGCAACAGGGGTAAGAGTTTAAACTCTCAAAATTTGGTTCCAGGGTCTGTGGTCTTGCCAACTCTTAATTCTTAATTACTACACCAAAAAGTAACACTCTCTTAGGCCAAAGGTTAAGGAACTTTTTTTTTTTTTTTTTTTGAAGGGAACAATCTCCATTTCAAAGAACCTTTTAGTCCAGGCTTTAAAAAAGCTTCACCACTTTATTTTCCCAGGCATCTCAAAATCCGGTATCAACAGTGAATCCTGAATTTAGCAACCCTAGTTTTGTTTTATTTTGTATTTGTGTTTAATATTTACATCAGAATGGTTTCCCCCCATATGCTTTGCATCTAGCCCTGGTTGTGTGACATTAGTACATAACTATTTATTTATGGCAGCGTGTCCTGGAGTTGCCACCTGGCTAGTTTGTTGCTGACCCTGCCATGACTTTTACATGAAAGCTAGTTGACGATAAGCAGACACCACTTGATCCCCCATTCCTTTCTCCTTCCCCACTTCACTCTTTGCAATTCACAGCCAACAGATTTTTATAGAAAACATCAGTTCAAGGATGTTTGCTCTAGTTATTTTTTATGGTAACTCGTCTCTCTGGCTCTTGTCCTGCATTCACCCTCACAACGGTTCAGGACAAAGCCGGGTTTGTTTTTCTGGTTTTTATTTTTAACATGCTGGCAGTTTAAAATTTTGACCCAAATCCAGTAGATTGTTTAAGAGTTAGCGCCAAGGGAAAAAGCACAGTTATGTTGTTGTTTTCATTGGCAGTGACAGTAGTGTTGTTTATTAAGTACAAAATAGAAGCAAAGCAGAAATGTGGTCGAGGTGGTGGTGGTGCTTAGGTGTTTTTTATTTATTTATTTTTTTACACGAAATGCTCGGGGTAAGACCATTAATCCTTTGAGGCTCCTTTCTCCCCCCGACCCCCCCCCCCCCCCGCTTACCCTCCTCTCCTCCATTCTGTCCCATCTCTCATGGAGTGTGATGACACTCCATGCCCCTCATCTGCCATATTCCTTCTAGAGCTGCCTGCCTTTCCATTTCTGAAGTTTCCCTACTGTTTCTCAGTCAGTCAGTCAGTCAGTCAGTCAGTAACACCAACCACCTACTAAGTAAAGTAGGTCATGAAATGAAAACAATACCAAACTAAAAACACAAAGAACTAGCTACCTGTTTCAAATCAGTCATAAATTGTGTGGCCTTGACCCAGTGACAGCCTCTCTGATCCTGACTGCCCTCATTGTAACCCGAAAAAATGGAACTTTATAGTTCTGATAGGGAGAAAGACTCTACGGATATGAAAAATGTGTATGAAATCATAGCAAGAAAATGTGTCAAAGTGGGGAGCAGTACAGCTCCCTCAAAGAACCTCCAGCCCTGAAAGATGGGCTGGAATGAATGGCTTGACCAGATTTCTTTCTGCCAATTCCTGGACGCTGTGAATGATGAACAATTGTAAAGGAGTGTGGGGTTGGCAGGAAGGCATCAGAAGGTCATTTCAAGAAGAGTGCTAAACACAAAGGACTAAAAATAAGAATGAGCCAAGTCACGCGCATGGGAAAGTTATTCTGACCGGAGCAAAGAGTTCTAGGCAGAGTGAAAAGGAGTTGAAGATGCTGGACCTTGGAAAGAGTCAGTCTCATTTTTAAACAGTCTGTTGTTCACTGAATCTGCCAAATCCAATGCATGTTTTTTAAAAAATAAATACTGACATATTATTTTATTATATTTTAATGTCTGATTCTATTCATGGAAACTTGCTAAAGTCATCTCATTGCTTCTTTTGAAGAAAAATATTTGAAGTTTACTAACGGAACAAAGAAGGAGTTAATATTTAAGCACCTGTGATGCTCGGACCTTATCCCATTAGTTCCTAATTTATAGGTTAAGAAACTGAGGCTCAAAGCGAGTAAAGGAGTTGCCAGTTAAGTCCCCAAACCGTGATTTGGATGCAAGCTAGTCTGACTGTAGGGCCTCGTGTTCTCCATCACAGTGTACTTGTAATTCAAAAAGGAAAAACTCTTTGATTGAACTATCCTTAATGAGCATTTATGTTCTGAACTAGCTGGCCACTTTCTTTGGCCACCAGCAGTGCCTGCTGAAGAAGCAGTGACCTTCAATTTTGACATTTAGCCAAACACACTCTAAAAAAAAAAATTGTTTGCCCTCTTTGAATAGAAGAGATTGCATCTTGTTCTCTTTGCCCTGTGAAGTACCACCTAAAGTGATGCATCTTTTGAAAGCAAAGTTTACATTTCCATACTTGCCGTCCATGAGTGACAGGTCATTTTATCCTGGTCCCAACATAATGCAAGCACTTAGTAGACAGTAAAGATCAAAATAACTCAGTTGTTGAGGCTTGCAGAAATTACTTTAACTTAATGACTTGAGGAAAACGAAAGAAAAAATACAGAAGGACATTCCACACCACGATGGTGAAGCGGTTAGAGAAGACCAAAACCCAGATGTTTGGTTGCTTCATGAAAGTCAGTGGTGAATGAACTCCTAGTTTGTCAAACCAGGTAGGCTGATTCCAGAAGGAGTTTGTGGTTGGTGGGGGTATCCACTGAAGACCTGTTACAAACAGAACCGGTGTCCTGAGCACACATCATTCAGAATGGCATCTCTGCAAGTCTTTGTTATTCAATAACACTAAGAGCCCGTTGCAGGTGGGGTGGGCGGCACTTACCAAAGGCAGGCACCATGCTAAGCACTTTACACACACCTATCTTCCCTTAATTCTCAGATCCAAGTTCAAGAGGTAAGTTCTATTATTAAATCCATTCTCCAGGTGAGAAAACTAAGGCTTAGAGAGGTGCTTTCTTATTTATCTCATCAATTGTTTTACAACATTTTAGAATAGTATTTCTCACACTGTCTGCCTTGAGGGTTGTTTTCCCCCAATTTTCCACGGACAAATACTACTATAAAATAAGATAAAAATGAATTACCCCAAAAAAGAAATTTAAAAAGACAAAGACATATAAAATGCAAGCCCCCAGTTGGTTATTATGAGCGTCAATGTACTTAACAATTAACCTACCAAATTGCTATAAAAGGGTCTAAACGCTTATTCTCAGTTTCTGTACTTTTCGCATCAAAACATGTAAGAAACCCTTTGAGGACCAACACGGTTTGCTGATCACATTGTGAGTGGTACTGTAGTAGTACCGTCGAAAGCCACCATCGTAAGCCAGGTATGTGCGAAGTGTAGGACATCACACTTTCATGTACTCTTAGGTAGAAGTATAACCTGTTCTTTTTTAGATTTCTAAGTATCAATCATCATTATTATTGCCTTCAGTCTACTGTTTTTAGTTCTTCTCAAGTGATGTATATTTATTAAGATTAGCAGTGCAAATCCTTACAGGCTATTTCATGGTGTTAACCCTATGAAGTTAACGCCGTGTGTTTTTATGGCATAAAACCTAATTTCTTCTTTAAATTA